TCTACTCAAAAAGACGGTTAGTGTATTACGTTTCTAGACAACCTCAGTACCTTTCAAAAATTGTATAAGTTGATTTTTGTGCCAAACATTGTACGGTAGACAATAGGCATATATACCTACTTACTGTAAAAATTTCCTATTATTTGGAGATCAAGAAGTTAGTAAAAAATAACTCAATATGTATTGCAGCAGAATTACCAATTTCTGCAATAACATTGAGATTTGAAATATTATATAACATTCTACATAAAGTATTTGATCTTGAACATTTTTTGAAACTTGATGTACAGGTCTAATTTCATCCCTTAAATGTTCATAGCAAAATTCTGAGGCCAATATTTTTAATAATTCAATACCCACACTGTTGTAACTGAGTATTTACATTCTGTTTTCAAGCATAAAATTCAAGCATTACATGCATACCCATTTCATCTATTAATAGATAAACATAAATAAATTACAATAAATAATCACTATAAACATGCTATATTAACATAAATGGAAGACGAGAACCAAGGAGTTATTCTTCCTACCTCAAATCCAATCTTTATCTCAAATTAATAAAATCCCTTGATGTATTTCCTTTAGGCTTTGAAAATGGATTTCTCTAATTCCCTATTTCAAATCCTTGAAGTTTAACACGTAATGATCCTTCCAAGTACAAAAATTTGATGTTACTAGCCTTAATCTTCCTCCACGAGTTGCACTTTGTACTTCTAAAGAGGTAAGAAAATGGCCAGTGTTGTCTCTGAATCTGTCTCTCGACTGAAAAGGTGAGATTCCCTTTAGCTTTTTCTTCATTTAGGGGTAATCTATACAATATCCTCTGCATGCATGCTTGTCATGGGCATTTGTCATTAACTTGTACATTTGTACAAGACTTTGCATGCAATGTAGACAACTCACTTTGTCACTTTTTTTTCTTGTTTTTGTTTCCATCTACTATACAAACCAGTTGGACTCCCTTCTCTGGCATGCAATTTTACTTTATTACATTTTCCTACCACGTAAGTTTTGTTAAATTAGACTTTTTAACTGAAAACATTATTTTTTTTTGGAACTATGTGATTGAATTCTTAAATTTCGTAATAATAAAATCAATATCACAAATACTTTAGTATAATGATCTAAAATTAATTTACAAAGTTTTGAATTCTCAGTTAACTGTTAGCGACAAATTTTTTATTTTTCCATAGAAAAGTTTTGATAGCTAAAAACCTTATTTGTTGTAGTGAGTATAGTTCATTGACAAATTTAATTTCAATGAACATATCAGTGTCATTGTATGTGCAAGAATGTAATATTTTAGCAGTTCTTGAATGTAGCTAAGTGAATATAAAGGTAGTCGATTGTAGTTTTACATTTTTAACGTTTCCATTAGGAGGGATAACAAGACAATACCAACTATGCAGCGAAGATGCTTCTGAATGTAATTAATAGTATTTTAAAAATCTTTCTTGCACTCCTTCACTTAGCCTATACTTTTGGGTTTTGCCATCTTAATAGAGTGTTTTGTTGTAGGGAGTTTTGATGTGTGATATAAATTTATTTTTTGTGATAAAATGTGAATGGATACAAGACCTTTCAAGCTCATTACCCAGTTTAATATGAGGGTAATTCAGACTATTTGGTAAAAAATCACACTTCTGTTTTGGAGTGTGTGTGTTTATGTCTACGTGCATATATTTTTCATAATGTTTTGGGAAATAATACAAATATTGTTCTCTTTCCCTTCTAAAAAGCTTTTGTGCTCTAAATTAATATAGATAGAATCTTTAACAAAAGGATTTTTATAGAACCTTAGAAGAATAATTGAATCCTAGAGTTTTATGTGGTTCAAGCCTCTATTGTAAAGATAACATACAAGTTGAGTTCAAATTGAAGGTCATGACACACCCTCACTCTTTTGGTCATAATTCTTAGGCTACTAAGAATTTGGAGATGAAGTTTGTTTCATTTGAAAGTAGACAGCTTTCCAACGACAAGCTCATTTGCTTAATTTTGACTTCGGTAGCCCCAAGTATGGTCTTTTGAAGTGAGACAAAAAATCTATCTGCAGTCAAGTGTTCAAACGCTCAAAACCCCTCTCAGGCGTGTTTGAACAGCCAGCGCAACTTTTAACCTTAGTGTTGGAACACCAAAATCTCCTCATAGCGGCGTTCGAACACTCGGTGCAATTTTATTTTTTATAGCATAACCTAATGAAGACATTATAAGACCCCATACAAAATTTAAAGATGAATAATATGATATTAAGAGTACTTGCAAAAGGGTGATAGGAACTTAGAATCGTTATTGAAAAATTGATCATAATGTTTGGGTTTCATGCGTTTTGACTTTTGTGTCGAATTTAGTTTCAGAGGCTTTAAAGCTTGAGAAGTATAAATGGGTAAGTTTTTAAATATTTTTTTTGTTCAAAATAAGGCTACCATTTAATTCGAAAGGTATAAACCTTGAGAGATGTAATATGGGGTATATTGGAAGTTTAAAAATATTTTGAAGTTAAAGTGTATTTTGGAGAGAATTTGAGTAGAAAGAAATTTGACACTATAATGTTTTCGTCATGCCATTTCATTTTACTTCAAACTCCAATTGAGCCGATTGTTGGATAGTATAAACTAGACTTCAAGGTCTACAAAAATTTATTTAAAATTTTGTGAATCGGCGTTGAACTAGGTCAAAATTGAGTCAGACGTCTAGGACAAAACTTCACCCATGTCCGGATTGGACAAAACAGGCATCCTGATGCGCGAGGTAGAGAATTTGTCAGTCTTGGTATGTTTTGAGTGTTTTCTCTTATTTTGACACTATAGATACCCTAGAGACTTAATTTGTGGATTCCTATACATATTTTGCAACCACAAGAAGTCTGAGAGAGTCTTAGAGAGAAAAAGATGAGAAAGAGGAATAAATTGAGCTTGCTCTTGAGGACATCAATGTGTAATCAATCACACAAAATGCACTATAAAAAATAGTAACTTTGGTGACAGAAAAAGTCGTCACTAAAACTCTTAAATTTGTCACAAAATTATTTAGTGGCAAAATAAAATGACCACTAGGTTGTCACTATAAATGTGTCATTAAAAGTTAATAGTGACAAGCAACACTAATTGTCAAAAATGATCTAGACCTTTAGTGACGATTCTATATCATCACTGAATCACTCTCAACAATGACAAAATTTGTCGCCACTAATATTTTAAACTTTCATCACTAAAACATATGTTTTCGTCACTTAAAAACCACTTTCAGCCCAAAAAAATTATTTTAGTGTAGAAATATATTGACAATAATTAGTATCCGTCAATCATTAGTGACTGAATTTTTTGTTGTCACTAATATGTTTAGTGACAATTTTAAACTTTCGTCCCTAATTAGGATAAAGTTTTATTGCCACTAAATTGTTGGTGGTAGTGACAATGTTTTGATTTTCACTAACAATTTTTGTTTATTTTTAATGGCTAGCTTTATAATTGTCACTAAAAACTTATTCAGTGACCATATTTTCTATTGTCACTATAAAATTTTAAAATATTTTTGTGACATTTTATAGCAGTTACTAAAAAACTCTAGTGACGACTCTAGGGGTTGTTACTCACATAATAATTCGTAACAACTTTCATAAACCCTGTATAAAATTGACCTGTAATTAAAACATCCTAATATTTCAATTTAAGTCGAAACAAATCGAAATTCAATCATAGTTTAATTATAAAATCAAAAACTTATGGAATTATCATAAAATTTTTATTAATCTGACGAATACTTTAAAAAAAAAAACCAATTAAAACAGTTTTCCTCAAGCAACAAAATAAAAAATTAACAATAAACTGTTGGTATTTGTTCCTTCCATAACCATGAGAAGATCTAAAGCAAACTTCTGACGGACAAAAAAATGTACTTAGTGTTTTTAGATTAATTCTGGTCTTTGGAACATAGTCTTCTATTCTCATAAAGATGTCGAAGAGATAACCACCCTGGCAAAAATTAAAGACCGTAATAGCTGTCACAACTTTTTAATTTTAAATCACATAAAGTAGTAAATGCTCGGGAAAAATGTAATCATAAAATTAGAGTTGGTAATGTCTAGATCTTATTTTTAAACTTCTATTCACTTTATGCAACACAAGAAACAAAATTTCAACAATATTATCAAAGTTTTAGATTGAGTGATAACCAACCTAATGGTCCTTTTAATTTCTTATAACAATGGACTGCACTTTGCACTCTTAAAATGTGTATTGTAGCACTTTTAGCATTGTTAAAGGAGGTTTAACACAAAAGAGTATCGATGACATCATTAAAGAATACACAATTTCTATTATATATCATGAGGCTCATTACATCAATTACTTCCTATTGTTCGCAAGTACAATAGTACTTATATGATTAAAAGAAAAAAGAATAAATCACCAAAAAATATGAATCCTATGAAGAAACACAACCATGTGCTTGACAAACATAAATGTTTTGCTCAAAATGATTGCATCAACTAAATAAAAGCTAATCTTCCAAATATGATAATGAGCTGAATATCTAATCAATAATAGTTAACTCAAACTAAAAGTCAAAAAATTCAACTGTGATATTATTGCCTTATCATCAAATCTTAAGAACCATGGTTAACTAATTTAATGGATCTATGTTGTCATTGAGTGTTAAGTCAATCACAATATCAATCTATAATTAATATATCAAAGCACCATAATATCAACAAGTATACTACACAATTTCTTCTATAAAACCCCTAAGTCATTTCATAATTGCAAGTAGAATCAAGAATAAAGAACTTGTTCATAAGTTGTAATACTCCAAATAGAATTATTGTGCACCCCCAAATTTATCCTACAAAAGTAAAAATGAGAACACTTACCTAAATTGCAATCGCCCTAGTTGAGCCCCATATTTCTTCCATCTATCATGCAATAAAATAAAGTTTATGACACTTTAAAAAAAAGGAAAAAAATCAAAACTCAGTTTTCATTAATCAAGTATTCCACCTACGATGAAAAAGAGTTAGGTGCAGGGGCAGACATGTGTCTCTCATCCTGTATTTGTTTCATCAATGCTTGCAAAATCTCATTTGTCACATTTTGAGTTACTCCTTGCATCTGCTCCATCAATGCTTGCAAAATCTCATTTGTTGCCTTTTGAGTAGCTTTAATCACTTTCATGTCCTTTTGTTGAGCATTGAGTTTTTCTTCCAACTCATTGGTCCTTTTGTTAGCTGCCTCCAACTCCGATTTATTGTGGTGCTTAGATAAGGATCGACTAGGCTTCGGACCATGCCCACGACCGTGCATGTACCCCGATTTATGTCCAAGAACCTCTGAGCAAATTTCCTCCTCACAAATTGGTGCTTTATTCTCTCCTATGGGCTGGGACTGAATCTCCACCATTTGGTCCTAACGTGGCAAGGCATATGAATTTTAAATTACATTAGTTCAATTAATATGATGATAAACAACAATTTTAATCAAATTGATAACTTACATAGTTATGATGTGCAAGGTCATTCACCTAAGAGTGTTTCTTATTACTATAGTGAGTTATCCTATATAATTCAATTGACCCAAACACTTCACCAGTTTGAGCTGTCTACATCAATTCAAATATGTGAATTAGTTTTTAAAGCATATCACTACGCATATGATACACTCTATACCTAAGAATTATGTTGCTACCATTTCAACACCCATTTGGGCAAAAGAATTTGTCCCAATTACATGAGGCGTGTTTTGCATTGGTTGATTCCTTGCATTTTGAGCACTCCTTTTCTACATTAAAATAGAACAAGTATCTTACATTAAAAAAATTTTAAACGATAAAGGGAAAATTGATTTTGTTGAGTATCGATAGTAAGTTCAAAAACCTTAAATTCATCAGAGGAAAAGTAAGAACAAATATAATTATAATCTTCCTGTGGCACGCATGGTGGTGGATGTTGCATTGTTACTTCTGTCATTGGGTGTGGCAAGAAGTAGTTCTTGTGTAGCTTATGTCGATGATTCCGATATTGTGTGTTCATTTGGACAAATGTTATATCTTTAAGTTGTTCATCATGGAGATTGAATGATTCCTACAAAATATAGTGAATTGTTTACATTATTAACAACGAAGGCACTGTGAGAAATAAAAGTAACAACAATTGAATTACAAAATAAAAAATAAGTAACTTTGTCTATTGGAAGCAAACAAACCAGAAACCCCCTTTTAACATTTGTTTCCTATTCCTCCTCTTATTTACTTGTTTATTTTCTCATACTTGCAACATTTCCAACCTCTGTTTAGCTCAATATACTCCTTTAGACTAAACAACCATCATATCTTATGCTCAATGACCTTTTTGGTTAACATGCATTTCTCAGGTAGAATATGTTACATTTATCCTTTGTCTCACTACATTAAATATACATAGTCTAGTTGAAATGTTTGAGTACTTGGAAAAGCACTTATCTTAGCCATTTGGAGTAAACTCTCCCGATCGGCTTTGTCAATCTTTGCCCATTTTGTAACTTGAAGAGGTGCATGCTTCCGAACAATACATCCCAACTCTGTTATAAGTGGTTGGCATTCCAATCCTACTATTCGCCCAAGCTCTTCTGGCATCTCAACATTAAGCTTCTCGCCGACTTGCTTTTTTTTTTTGCAAGCACAATATTTCGGATCGGTCCCCATTTTCTCCTCGTTGTGGATGACTTTGAAGATAAAGTGTGAATAATGATGGTACATGATTTTGTTAAGAACCTAATTTTTTGATAAAAATTAAAACATTAAGGCAATTCAATAAAAACTTAAAAATGCAGCTTCTATAAGTCAATATTTTGAACAATATTTAACATAATTCCATTAAGCAAACATACCAACATTATGTTCAACATGTCCCTCTGGCAAAAGAATAGTATGCACACTCGTGGAACCATGAGACTCTCGTGCGAGTGGCGATGTACCACTATTAGCATCAACATGTGTCTATTTATCATATGGTAATAAAACCGAAAGCAGTAATGATAATTGTCCTCCACCACGCCTAGCAACTCCTCGTTTCCCCAATCCGGCCATCTGAATGCAATGAAACAACAAAATAATACAACAAATGAATATCAATTGCATAAATACAAATGGTTATGCATCTATGTGTGTATATAATGGAAATACAAGAATTGCAACAGTGTAAAATTTCCCTACTATAAAATAAATTACACCGAATCCTTATCTTTAGTTAGAGTCACATTCCTCATTAATGAATGTATCATCTTTGTCAATATCATCACTACAGGAATCTTCCTTGATATCACTTTCATTAATGAAGTTGTCATCTTCTTCATCTACATTTTCCTTTGATTGGTCACACAATATATTATCTACATCAGTACATCCTAATGGGATCATATTATCTCTTTCTAATGATGGCATTTCATCAATTTCCATTGAATCAAAAACATCATCAGACAAATGTTCTTTGTAAGCCTCATCACCAAAAATCAATTGTTCTTCAAACTGTTTAGGAACATCAAAAGATCCGCGAGGTTGTGTACTCTTGAAAATGCGCCAATTTTTCACTAACTTCAAATCTTCAATATAAAAATCTTGTTTTGCTTGAGAGGCAAGCACAAACGGTTGGTCCTTACACCAAGTTCGTGATACAATTACACTAGTAATCTTCCAATACTTGTCTATTTGGATACCTGTACTGTCCTTTACATCCCACCAATCATAGAGATATGTCTTTGATTAACGTTCCTTGTACGCTCAGCTTTTAGAATTTCCTTATGCTCACTATACATTAATTATATATCATTATGACCCAAAATTAGCTAATACCAAGGCATAAATCTAATGAGCAAACAATAAATTTTTAAGTACAAGTAATTAGAAAATTAAACTTACACTATAAAACCTTGAACCTCTTCACAATTATTCAACACGTAATTCTAAGCTTTTTCCCACTCAATATTATTCAACTCGTCATATATGGTCCCACCAAATGCATGAGCATTATATGCAATTACAGACAACTCACTCGACTTTTCATCTTTATCATAGCTCTGTTTAGCTCGATTGAATCTCGTCTCGACATTATCAAAGTACATAGAGAAAAAATTCAAGCATTCATTGTTGATGTAATGCTCAGCAATCGACCCTTCTGGCCGAGCCTTATTGAGTACATATCCCTTTAGTTTACCCATTTTCCTGTCAATATACATAACTTAAGACACAACTGAAAAAGAAAAACATGATTGATGCTTAAGTAATCACCTGATCAATAACTTATTAAATACCTTTCAAACGGAAACATCCATCGGTATTGGACTAGTCCAGCAAGCTTGGCTTCCTTAGCAAGGAGAATCATTAAGTGTACCAATATTGTAAAAAACGCTGGGGAAAATAAATATTCAAGTCTGCATAGTATCAAAGCAATCTGCCTTTCAAGTTTTTCCAACATATCCAAGTACAACGTCCTAGAATATAACTATTTGAAAAAACTACCAAGCTCAACTAATGACTGACACACTTCCTTACCCAAGGATTCACGTATTGCCACTGAGAGTATCCATTGAAGGAAAATGTGACAGTCGTGACTCTTCAATCCTGAAATACGACACTCTCTTATCTTCACATATCGAGAGAGGTTTGAGGCAAAACCATCTGGAAACTTGATTGAACTTAAGAATTCACATATTTTTCTCTTCTCATCATGGGACAACTGGTAACATGCAGACGTCACAAGAACTTTATCACCTTCAAAACGAAGGTGTAATTATGGCCTTAGTCCCATTGCCATCAAATTCTTACTAGCCTTCCAATTGTCCGTAGTCTTTCCATCAATATTCATTAATGTGCCAAGCACATTATCACATACATTCTTCTCTATGTGCATGATATCCAGGTTATGTCGTTGTTTCAGGGTTTTCCAATATGGCAATTTGAAGAAAATGCTCTTCTTTGTCCAATTTAAATACTTTCCCGACATTTCCTCTTTTTCTCTTAGATTAGTTCAGGGGCCTTACCGAAAACAACTTGATCAATAGCATTCAAATATTTCAATATGTCATCCCTAGATAATGGTTCAACTGGTTCCCTAAAGTCTTTCCCACCATCAAATGACTTAGTCTCCTTTCGCCATCTATGATTAGTTGGTAAGAAACGATGATGTCCCATGTAACAACACTTCTTTCCATTTGGCAAATATTTGGAGGAAGTCTCACTCATGCAAATTGGACATGGCATATACCCTTTGGTGCTCCATCCGGACAAGTTAGTATAAGCGGAAAAATCATTGATGGTCCATAGTAGTGCTACACACAAGCAAAAATTCTCTTTAGTATAACCATCATATGTTTCAAAGCCATCTTTTGATAATTCTTTTAACTCATCAATTAACGGTTGTAGAAATACGTCAATGTCATTTTCTAGAGAATTTGGTCCTAGAATAATCATGAACATCATGAGAAAAAGATCCTTCATACATTTCCAAGGAGGCAAATTGTATGGTACAAGAAATATTGGCCAAATGTTGTAAGCATTAGTCATGTTGCCAAAAGGATTGAAGCCATCACTTGCTAGACCAAGCCTAAAATTGCGAGGATCCTGGGCAAATAACTCATGCTTTTTATCAAAATCTTTCCATGTGTCGGAATCAGCAGGATGCCATAACACATTATCCTCATTGATACGTTTGTCTTTATGCCACTTCATATCACAAGCAATGTTCTTATTTATAAACAACCTTTTCAGTCTTGACTTCAATGGGAAGTAGCGCAATACCGTTTGAGGTATCTTCTTAGATCCTTCAAACTTTTATCTAGAGCTCCCACATTTTGGACACTTATCCAAATCCTTATAATCCTTTCAAAAGATTGCACAGTCATTCACGCAAGCATCTATCTTCACATAGTTAAGGCCCAAGTCACGAATTACCTTTTTTGACTCACAATACGACTTAGGAAATGAATCACACATTGGAAAGACATCCTTCAATATTTCAAGTAACATGTCAAAGCACTTATTACTCATGCAATAAATCATTTTTAAATGAAGTAGCTTCATAAGAAAAGACAGCTTAGAAAACTTCTTACATCCCAGATAAAATTCTTGCTCTGCATCATTCAACAATTTAAGAAATGTATCCACTTCTCCTCCATCCACATGAACACCCTGTTTAATAGATTCTTCTCCAACCCCCCAATTGTCCCCAAAACGACTAGTGGCAATATCATCTATCATACCATGCATATCATCAACTTCATTACCATGCTCACAGTTCTCCTCAACACCCTCATCATTAGCAAAAATGGTTTCAAAGTCTTCTCCATGAAATATCCACCTAACATAACTCTTAACTATCCCGTGCATCAATAAATCCCTTTCAACAACTTCTCGAGTGTAGTCACCGAAGTTGTTTCACTTCATTCGAGGACATGGGATCTTACTATGTGATTCTTTACGCGCATATGCAAACTAGAGGAATTCTTTCACTCCCAATTGGAAAGTGCGGCGCAATCTATTCTTTTGATGTATCCAACTTCTATCCATACTTGTGTTCCTACACAATGAACAAATTCAACTTTGCAATAAACTATCCAATTGACATCAACACATTAGACAAAAAAATGGTTCAAAACAACAGTTCCATGCATGATAATGATAGCAATTTTACCCTTTCTCATGAAAACAATGAAACTTCTAGCAACTGGCCATCAATTTTTAAAAACAAACGACAATGAAACACGAATAAAAAAAATAGCACTAGTGAACAATAGCAAAACTCTGTCCCACCTACATGTAACAGGATACAAACTTGATAGCTAGAGCATTTTACCATTCAACTAAGCAATTCGCCTCTATTATCAATTGAAAACTCCTCAAAATTGTTAGATAGTAACTCTATAACAGAAATAATACGTACACACATATATATCTATATTATAAAACAGCTCATACTTTAAATTTTATCACACACATATTTTCCTCCTCAAAATCATCACATCTCACTTATCTCATCCATCATTCCTTTTTCATATGTCATGTCACCTTTCTCCATCTCTTTTTATTTTTTTTCCCTTTTTCCCTCTCTCACCAATGCCAGCGACATAGCCAGACCCACCGCCACTGCCATTGCCACTACTCCACAACCTTCCTCTTTATTCCCAGGTATCCCTCTTATCATCTCCTTTCTCTCACACACACCCAGATAACACCCCTAGCCCCCAGTTCTCCCCTTTGGGAACACCGCCCCCACCCAAGCTCTCCCCCTTTTGGAAAATCTCCCCTGTACGTCTGACCCCTCTCTCTTATACACCGTCTATGCAATCCACCCCCTACACACATAAACACAAACGGAACACACACAACACACGGAACACACATACCCATACTCTTCACACACCCGCACACTCATGGGTTCTCTTTCTCTTAGACTACCAGTGCCACCATCGCCGCAATAGCACCACGGTCACAACCACACAGCACCACTGTCAAGACCACAACCATCTACTAGGTAATTCTCTCCATCCCCTCCCCTCTCCTCTTTTTTCCTCCCTTTGAAATGTTTGTTGAAATGCCAAAAACACAGAACCCAATAATAACACTCATGAAGTGTTTGTTGACATGCCTGAGAGACACACGCACACACAAATCATACCCATAATGCGCGCGCACTACACCCTCACACACCA